GCCTTTTGGCTCAGCTCCTTCTTCACCATGACAGACACCATGTCTGTCATGCCCCCGAGATAGGGGAGTCCACACCCAAGTCCCCATACTCTGCTTCCACATCGCCACGGAATTTCACAACCTCGCGTACCAGCTCAGGCTCCTTCCCCATCAGAGAGGTGACATTCCATGTCCCAAGAGCTAGCTTCTGCAGCCGAGGATCGGACCCCCCCTGGACCCCAGGCCTGGCTCCAGGGGGGGGCCCCGGTGACCCGCGTCCGGGCAAGGGAAAACGTGTTTCCAAAATCTTTTTCATCATATGGGGTCTTTTGAGCCGAACTTTGTCTGGTTCCTGTGGACCAAGCTCATTTAAATGCTTTAAATGTGGGACAGACCTGGCTACCATTTACAAAAGCAGTCCTTCTAAATCTAACAGCAACACAAAGCTACTGGGTCAATAGCGTTTGAGGTTTCACACCTATATGTGCAGGGTCTGATGGCCAATCTTCACTGATCGCACATTCCATCAGTAAGAGCAGAGTGTGAAGGTTGAATCAGCAGAGTAACAGCACAGCTGTACATAAAAAATACTGCTATCCATACAACATAATGGGAGACGTATTGGAGTTCAATAGGACAGATTGTTGGTGCACATCACGCTGGTGCATCTGTGACCAGGACAGCAAGTCTTTGTGGTGTATCGAGAGCCACGGTGTCTCGGGGAACGTCAGCATACTGTCAAGAAGGACGGACCACGTCCAACAGGAGTAACTGTAGCTGCAAGAGGTAGCTGTCTGAAAGGATTGTATCCAAAAAACACAAAAGCACAGCTGCCCAACTCCATGCAGAATTAAATTTACACTTTGACTCTACCGTTTCCACCAAAACGGGTCATTGGCAGATCCACAGGGTCAACATTCATGGTTGAGTTTCTATAATCAAACCTTTGGTCTCTCATGCCAAAGCCAAACATCGGTTTCCGTGGGGCCAGCAGCGTAAATCTTGGGCTGTGGACCATGTACTGTTTGATCAGTCCACTTTCACTGTTTTTCCCACATCCAGAAGAGTTCCGGCGTGGAGATACCCCAAAGAGGCTTTCACCTGGACTGCTGCATACCCAGAGTGCAACACAGGAGTGAATCAATGATAGTTTCAGCTGCGATATCATGACATCACCTAGGCCCACTACTTGTTCTACATAGGCAAGGACTACTGAACCATTCTGGAGGATCACGTTCACCCAATGGTTCAAAATTATACCCTGAAGGTGGTGCCGTGTATCAGGATGATACTGCATCAATACACACAGCAAGACTGGTAACCGTGTGGTTTGATGAGCATGAAGCTGAACATCTCCCATGGCCTACACAGTCACCAGATCTGAACATTATTCAGCCACTTTGGGGTGTTTTGGAGGAGAAAGAGCAAGAAACATTTTCCTCCACCAGCATCACAGTGACCTGGCCACTGTTCTGCAAGAGGAATGGCTCCGAATCTCTCTGGCCACTGGGCAGGACTTGTGTATTTCATTCGCAAGACAAACTGATACTGTATTGGCTGCAAAAGGAGGCTCCACAACACACTAATAAATTACTGTGGTCTAAAACCAGGTGTTTCAGTTTCAATGACCAACCCCTGTATATATCTTTGTGGGGACACTCCATTCAATGGGCATAATCCTAATCCCAACAATGAGAACCTTAACCCCTACCCAGCTCTAACCTGAACCTTAAATAACCCAACAAAATAAAAGACTTCTGCTTCTGGCTGTTTTAGTGTTTTTTTTTTTTTTTTTTATTTCATTCACAGATTCTTTATAAAAATGAGGTTATCCTTGTGAGGACTGGAAGAATGTCCCCACAAGGTAAAAAGAATCAGGTGTTTATTACATAATGGGAACACTGGGTCCCCACAATGTAGTATATGCAAAACCACACAAATATATCTGTTAGTGTGTCCTGCGTAACACCATGAGAGCGCCCCACCATCCTCCGGCCAGGACAGCCTAGCACAATGGGGCACAAGCGCCTACGGTCTGTAAAAATCATTAAAAGACAGCAGAGTCGGAGTAGCCAGTAACAGAATGTTCTCCTGATTAAATCAACAAGCCTTAATTCAAAGGGAATCTCTCCAGCACGAGGGGAGCTAATAAAGTGACGATTTAACAGTGCAGAAAGAACAGGCCGACCCCCCCAAGGCCAGGGCAAAGGGAGGGGTCGCAGCGATTCGCCCGGGCTGCCTTGGCGCTGGCTGATACCTCGCCCAGCCACTGCCAGCCTGCTACACCCGCAAGCGGAGCACAGATCACACTGTTCTGTCTGAAGTGCCAGAACAACGGGGTCCTCGCTCAAGCAGGGTCGGCCATTTTTCAGGTCAGCTAGCATACAGGTGGAACTGGCACACAGGCAGGTAACCTGGAGTGCGTGAGTGACTCCCCCATCTCTGTGGTATGGAGGGAGAGACGGTTCAGAGACCTAAATTAATGGATGACGGCCAGGCTGTCTGCTAGGCTCCTGCATCATTGTGACAACTACAGCTGACTATAATATCGACGCCTTTCCCACGGCCGGTTACCCAAACATCAACCTGCCCGACGGCCTATAATGGGTGAGCACCAACTGCATTATTCATATTTCCCACATGTGTGAAAAATAAACGATCTCTCTT